AGTGCCTCGTTTCCTTTTTCTTTTTTTCTTAATGATCTAGAAATGTTCTGTACTTTTGGGGGTCTTATAAAAGCATTTCCCTCACACTTCTCTATGTGTATCCATGGATAGGGAAACACTGTTCAGTAAATATTTCATTCTTTATTGCATGTTTGACACTAAATCAATCATTAAAATACATATATGTGTATATATATACATATATAGAAAGTATTATCTGTCCTAAGCGCTGCCCACGGAAATTTTTCTTCCATTCTTACATTCATATACAGTTTTTTTGTTACAAAGATGGTGCATGTCAATATTTGTTACAATACACAATACAATCAACAATAATGGAGAAAATAGTAGGCTGAGAAAATACGCTGTTTTGAGCTTAAATGCCTTACTTATGTAGTGCTCTCTACTTTGCAGACAGAGAGAAAAAAAGTGGCTGCATAACATAAATAGGTTTTCTGGTTTACTGCACTTGTTCTACGATCCTGTAAAATACTGCAGTCCTCTAAAATGCTAAAACAATGCAGTTGGAAGTTGAAGCTGAGTTTGCCGAGATTTTCATAGACCATGCAGAACTTTGTCACAGCACAATAATCAAAAAATAATGTAAAAATGGAGAAAAAAGGATGCCTGCAATTTGGAAATATGGAAGTGTTTTTGATTTCTCTATCATTAGCAGTGGAAGGAGATGACTTCTTTTCTCTGCTCTGAACAATTCATACTCTTGCACATGTTACTTGCAGGTTATTTTGTCTATATCCACAAAAAAATCTGTGATCCACTATTTGGAAGACTAAAGAACAGCATAGGGTGTTTTTAACCAGATATGAACTGTCAAGAGAAGGAAAGCAGCTCCATGGTGCCAACAAAGAGCCAGTGTCTTTCCCTCTCTACTGAATATGATAATTTTGAATGAATGAATCAAAGCACTATTCCACTGACACAATTTTCAGAATAGATTTTCAAGACAAAGAAATGCAAAGTTCTTCGTACCACAGAAGCAACACACTGTGGTTTTAGACACAGACTCTGGAAGGAAACTTCCAGACTGCACTACTTGCTGAGTACATGTTTAATGTAGGGATGCATATGGTCTAGGTCTTTAACACTGAAGTACCTTTTGTCCCGAAAATCAAAAGAAAAAGTCAAGGTATTTATACCTCCTTCTACTTTAATCCTGCCAAAAATGCATTATGGTGTCCTGTTATTCCGGTTCCAGGTTTCTCTGATGTGTCATTTCAACCTCTAGTCTTGATACATTCATAAGCCTCTTACCCCTTTTAGAATAAATGCATAAATATAATCTTGGGCCCAAAGCACATTCAGTGGGTTAGAAAACACAGCAATGATGCTGGCTGGAAACATACATATAGATATATTGAAAGCATATAGGCATATTCATATATGTATATATTGTAAAAATACATATCAATGAATAAATTCATTTAGATTTTATGCCTTTAATTATACTATTTTTAATATAATTTGAATTATATTTAATCTATCTCATTTGTAAAATTTTAAACTGACAACTATTAAAATTTTTGTTTACCATTCATTTGCATATTCTTATTTGCTATGCATTTTTTAAAAAATAGCATTGTGCTATTTGAATAAGAAACACATAGTAAACTTCATATATCTCTTAAAAGAAATTGATTGAATAAGCCACGAAGGTAGGAAAAAAAAAAGATAACATTTTTATAAATCTTTTATCCTTTACGATATTTATTGCCCTGAGAGAGATGGGGATTGTTTTTCCTTTCTTACAAAATCCAAAGTGAGAATAGTTGCTTTAGGATTGTAGCTTTTGAAACAGAGGCACAAATATTTAAAGAATTTAAAAAGTGTAGTAAAAACATTTTAAGAATTCATGTATTCTATAGACAGAGAATACTTATTCACCTAAGTTTTCCATTTGTGTTTTGCTTTTTCCTCCTCCCTTTTCCCATCTCCCTTAACACATTGAACTTGCAATGCTCTGTGAAATGTGGTTTTAACACAGAAGTTGTGATTATTTCTTTTCAGTTAAAAATGTAAAATGAACAAACTTACCTTAGGAAGTTAAGAATAAATGTGTCATGCTGTTAAAATACAAGCTAAACTATCAATCTTTACACTGCATTGGCTAGACCAGGAAGAACTTTTGAAATATTTGCTTAAAATGTTTGCTTATACCTTGAAGAAAAAATGTGTAAGCATACAATATAAGTGATATAAGTAGCTTGCTCTAAATGCAACCTCCTGTTTTACATTTCTCACTTTGTTTAGATTAAATGATAGCTTCTATTCTTCAGTCTACTCCTGTAGATTCTTCAGCATCATTTGGCATTATCATTTTATAGTCAAAGTCAGAAACATAGTTAACATATTTTCAACTTCATGAAGAAGTTCATATTTAATAGCATTAGGACTGTAGCAGAGCTCATTAAAAAAGGAAAAAAAAAAAAAAAAAAAGGGAGTAAAAAAGGTTTATGCTTATAAAGGACTTACCACGTAAAACAGTGAGTCTTGTGGACACACTTATTTCACCGACACTATTGGAAGCAACACATTCATAAATAGCCTCATCTCGTGGAGTCCGCAGTGGTTGTATTCTAAGAACTGATCCAGATCCATCGTCAAACTCTATTACCTATTGAAGGAAACAACAGCTGTCACAGATGTTGTTACAAAGGCCTACCCCTGAGTTGATCTGTGTCTGAACAATGAACCATCAGTACGTGTGATATCAAAGCCAGAGTCATTTTTCCGATGGTAAATAATGGCAAATTCAACACAGATGTTTAGGTGGCAATGCCAGCTAACATATTGCTATTCAGTTTCCACTCTAAGATAGTTTCAAGAAAGATTAGGACCAAAAAAGACACCAACAACAAGGGTTGCAAGAAAATAGCTTCTTAATGCCTCTTGCCTCTTGCTTTTTATCCTGAAGCTCACCAGCAGTCCCCCTTTTTTCACTCTACTTCAACACTTTACCTTCATATGCCAGTGACATTTATTTTAATTGCTGCAGGCTACACTCATGCTTACCACAGAGCAGAGTTCACTCAGTTCAGCTATGCGTTTAGCCCTTAGGACATACTTTTATCCAAAAATGTACAATAAAGCACATGACCAGTTAAAATATTAAACAATAAAAATATACTTTGTGGTTTCACTTTTAAATTGTAGTATTTACACAAGAAATGCCCACTTTCCTATATGAAAATGGACCTTTTTTCTTGTTCTGCAATTTACACAGTCCACCCTGCCCAAACATACTTCCTGCTTTATATTAAAATAATAAAACAGATCAGTACTTCCATCAGTTAAAAGGCACTAACTTAGAAAGCATACCTTCTGATATCGATGTGATTCTTTTTTACAAGACAATATTTGGCCATAATTTATCCATATACTGGCAAAGGATGTGCAGAATTAATTTAATATACATGTGCTTGTGCATGTTTGTGTGAGTGTCTAATTTAAACAGATTTAAACTATTCATATCTCTACACTCACTGAGACTGAAAGAGAGAGTACAGGATTTGGGAAGTATGACTATATGCACTTTACCTCCATATACAAACTGTAATAATTGTGTGTTTTCTTCTTACGAGTGGGAGAGGTCTAAATGGAAGTAACACAATAACCTGTTTTTCTGGTCAGAAATTGGTTCCACAGCCCACAGGCTGATTTTTTTTCCTTTGTTCCTTAAGCAAAGCTATTTTCCTGAACAGATATACACAACACAAAGATCTACATCTACATGCATTAAATTGTTACTGTTCCATTCTGAATGTTATGCAGCTGTAAGACTTATTCTGTGAGCAAGACCATTCCATCATTCCATTCCCTCTTCCCATTTCAAATACATGAATGGGTCACTGCAAAAAGGGAAGGAATAAATTATTTGTTCCTCTGCTACTAGCAAAACAATTATCACATAATTCTAGTTCCATCAGGAAAAGAGATTCTGGTTGGATAGAGCAAAAAAGTTTTTAATGTCAAGGTTCACGAAACTGCAAGGCACTGTCCTTCTTTATAAAAACAAACATACAACTCCCAGAATCCCTGCAGAAGCAGATAGCTTTAGATGGATCCTTAGGGTCCATTCTAGCTTTATTTACTATGCTTTTATAAAGATCAGTGACCACATAAACCATTTTTAATGTCCTGCATCACCAAGTAGTGAAGCACAGAGACACATAGAAGATACTAATCTGAGAGAATAGGAAAAGAAATGTAACAAATTATTTACCTACTGCTGCACTTGACAATTTTGGATTTTTATTTCATTTCCCAAATATTCCCTATGCATACTCTGAATTTCATTTCTACTGTTGATTTAGTCACTATTTACAGATTCTATAGCAGGAATTAATGATCTTATTTGGCTGGAAAAGGAAGCTGCTTAAAATTTTGATGTTCTCTGTACTTTACTTTGATGCTTTGTAAGTAAGTACTCTGCTCACTGTCTATAATAAATGTAATAAAATACATTGTGTTCTGTATTTCTTTGAAATACATTCCGTCCTACTTGACTGCAGAGCTTGTTCAGCATTACACTGAGGAGATTTTGAAAACATTTTATATTAAACTTTTACAGTTATTCAAATATTTTTATGGAAATAAATTCACTGTGTTTTTACTTATTCTCTCTAAAACCAGGTACACAGAAAACAAAATATGAAGCAACTAAAACACCACACTCTGGAAAACAAAGCTGAATCAACACAGTAAACATGTACATGCCCAATCTTCCATTGTTTGCAGCTGACCTTGATTGAAATTTTTGTGACCAGAATGGGAAAAGCTGTGCAGAGTTTATGTTAAAATTCTGATTTTCTCTCCTCTATCCAATTACAGCTCTGCAAGGTGCAAATCATCCTTGGCTCTAGCACCCAATTATATTTATGCCTTTATTTCTCATAATGTATTAAGCATACTTCCATAGAACTATCCTGGCTAGTGAACATATGGACGGTTTCTGTTCACTACCAGAACAACAACTACTGTTTTAAAATATTTTTTTAACAGAAAGAAATACAAAATCTAGTCTACACCAGAAATACAAATCTATTCTTCTCACTCATGACTAGTCTTAAAGTCCAGGGCAAACAGAACTACTGAAAATGAGCACAGACCAATTCTACAGTGAACTTTTTATATGTATATCTTAGTTCATTTGCTATTAAGTGAATTAGTCCACTTAATAAGGAGTAGTCATTTGCCAAACACTTATTTTTCTCCTGCAAAAGTGTCTTGACATTGAAAATACACTGAGAAGAAAAATGGCCAAAATTACATGTGGTTAATCCCATTTTTGGTATCCCTCTTACATGCTTTCTCCCATTTTGTCCTTTTTGTTCATTCAGGTCCGATGTCAGTCAATATTTGTTCTTAATTGTTCCTGCAGCTAAAAGGGTCTTTGAACAGATATCTTCACTATTTCCTTTAATGGTCATGGAGGTAGAGGAAACAGCTTTCTCTAAGGCCTTTTCCAAGGCTATGGTTGAGAAAAGAATCAAAAGCAAACTAGTTTTACACATCCCCTTCAGCAGCAGGAACTCTAATGTCCCTCTTGTATCTCTGCAATAGTGGCAAGCAGCTGTGGCAGCAGAAGCAGCAGCAGCCCAGGTCTGTGTTGAGCGCAGACTGTCACAAGAGAAGGTGTTTTACTCTCTGGAGACAGCAATTACTGCTCAAATAATTTTCCTTCATCTCCTTCATGGAAAAGATAGAAAGCTGAACAGAAGCATGCAAAGGATTCCCAGTTGGATCATGCTGATTTAGAAAAGGGAGGCAGCAATAGCTCTCTCTTTCATGGTGCTATGCACAACCAGTTTGCAAAACAAAATCTTCACAAGGCTGCTCCTGCTATATTATTCCCGATAGTCATAGCTATTTTGCTTAATCACTAATAGCAAAGCACACATACTGGGATTAGAAGCAAGGTTAGAATTAATGTTTTTCAGAGGAACAGAACAATGGACCTAATACCTCAAATCTCTGATTGCTGACTTTCTTTCCCTTTTTGTTCCAGACAATTTTAGGTCTTGGGTCTCCTGTAGCTTGACAGATAAACGAGGCGACTCCTCCAGAGACCCCTGTCTGGTCAACGGGAGTTCTTGTAAACTTCGGTGGTGCTGAAACAGAAAAATAAAAAAAAGTTAATTTGAGTAGTAGACATGGGAAAAAAAAAAAAAGTCAAGATTTAAAAATGAAAGAGGAAATGTTTCTCCAGTGATGGGATTCACCTGCAAGAAAAGATGTTAAAAATAACTAAAGGTCAGGAAAGCACAGATTTTACTAGTGAAATTTATATTTAAACAGAAGTGCAATAGCATCAGAACAACAAGATCACACATTATATTTTAACACCATTATAAATTAAAAAAATGAATTTGTCTTGTGTTGCAAAATGCGCTCATCAATCAGCTTAAATAAGATCATGATTCATGACTTGATGTTATGATCACAGAATGTCATGAAAGCAGACTTCCCACCTTTGAGCCACTAAAATCAGTGACATTTAGAAGAAAGTATTTGCAAGTTTGTGCTAGTGGGTGTAAAAATTAAGGTATTGCAAGTCAGAGCAGAGGGGACTTCAATAGAAGAAGGATTTATACTTGCCCAAAGTTTCACATATACACCTGTTCTCTTCCAAATATTCTATTGTCAGAAAGAAGTAGAGAAAAAGATATTCAACTATTGCAGGAACAAGAAAGGAGACTGAACAGGAAAAAAAAAAACACTAATAGAAAAGAAATATTCATTATTTTTTCTCTTCTTCTCCTTTTTTTTTTACAATGTTATTGAACTTCATTTATTAGTCTTTAGGTGAAACACGACTATCAATTACACCAAGAAAAGGTATCTCCTGATGAGTAATATAAAAATCTATGAAATTATGTTTAAGAGTTCATGAATGCAATTATATCATTCTCTTACTCAGGCTTTTAAAAATGCAAAATATTTGAGCTGCTGGTATATTAAAAAGCAGGCTACAAGTATGCATGTAACAATACAAAAAATACTGAAATCACTTTAAATGTCAAGAAATATGGTGTGGCCGTTATCATAATCAAACATTCAACTTGATGTATACTGACAAATTACATGCAAGAAGATGTGGATTGTCCTAGGTGTATGAAACAAATTCAGTCTTTTTACTCTGTGACATGACAGAAAGAAAACTAATTTTCAAAAATGTATTAAAAATACAATCCTTCTGAAAATTCCCCTACCATTTTCCTTAGCAGAGATGTCAGGCAAAATAATTATTCCCCGTGCTCAACTTTTCTCAGTGCTCCAGCATGCTTGAACCCATTCACTACTGTTTCGACAACTGGGCACTACCAGCCACAGTGCCAAAATAAGAACAATTGCACGTCTCAACACTGCAAAATGATGTGCCCCTTCTGTCATGAGCAATTCATGGCAGAATGTCATGAGGAATTCTCTGATGGCAGAAAATCTCCAAATTCACACTGAAAAAAAAATAAGAGTTACAGTAAACGAAGTAAAAATTCTTTGCCATGTCACAGGCTTTTATGCCTTGACCACAGAAAAGACAGAAATATATCTTGATGAAGGGCATCTGGGTTTCACCAGAACTGCTAGCTCTGAATCCTTTCCTCTGAATGTATTAAATTAGCACTCTTATATGTAAAAAGACATGACTGAACCTGATATGTTGATATTCTGTGGCACAAGTTGTGATTGCGCGTCATCAAATGAAAAGTGACGCTTTGTCACTCTCTTTATATTCTTTCTGACATACTGCAATTCCATGTTGAACCTCAAACCAATGAAAGGAAAACACTGCACGGGCAAAGTCCACCAGCACACAGTAAGTCTGCAGAGTAGATCACAGACAACTTTTAAACCCTAAATATGTATGCCACACTGATATAGTCAATGACTGGCACATCAGTAAAGATAGCTATTTCCTTAGAGACAAGGTTTGTTTTTCAAAATTTGCCAGATTTGTCATGCACTCGAAGAGTCAAGGAGGAAATGTGATTCATTTAAGGACCACACTGTGCATTCGCATGCAGGATTATGTTAAACTATCCCTATAAAAAAAGAAGAATATTCTACCTTTGGGATTTATACTATTGCTAAGCACCATCCTGTGAATGGTGGTGGCACGCTTTTACTGATTTAAAGTAAGTAGCAGTGATTTAAAAAAAAAAAAAAAGGAGATAAAGAAAGAAGAAGAGGAAGTGAAAGAGGCAGAGAGAAGTGAAGGGGAATCCTTTCCTGTGCATCAGACATCTAGAGACAAATTCCCCATTATTGCAGTTCTGGTTACCAAATAGTTCACATGGCAAGACACATAAACTTAGCATTTTCCTTAAAGCTTGACATGTGTTAGAGCCCAAACTAGTTTTTCCAAAACAGTTTGGCCAGAGCTGGGCTCAGTGTAATGAAAAAGGACTATAACTGATAGACCTATTAAAAAAATTACTGACCAGTTTCTAAAGATTGGGTTTGCAGAAATAGGGCTGAAAAATTAACCTGACTTTTGTAAATAGGAGGACATTTTTTTTTGCTAATCCTTGTTGTTTTTTTTTTTTTTTTCCTGGAGTGACAACTAGTAAATAAGTTGCCTATAAACTAGCAGCACTATAAAGAAGCAGAGGCAAAAGATGAGAATGCTTGTCATGTAATGATGTAATGATGTAATTCCCAAATTACTGACATTTTTCAACAAAAGTGCTCTGAGGTAACACTTCATGATGACAGTATTAACTGCATTAAAAAAGATATTTCAATTTCCAGTGCAGAAAGAAATGGTGATATTCTTTGTGTCTTATTCAGAATCCAACACGGTTGGGAAAAATAGAGTTACGAAGCTGGTCAAATTTTCATTTTACATAAGCAGTGCCTCTAAGAAACCAATGGCACAATGGTACACCAGTTTCTAATGTGAAAGAAACACTTTTATCACTAAGGTTTCATAGAGTATGAGAGAAGTTAGATTATTTTAGTTGAAAATGTAGAAGTATTAAACATATAAGATATGGAGAAACAGAAATGTCAATGCAGTCCTGGACAATTCACACATTTTACTGCATAGAAAAGACTGGCTTTATCAGGTCATCACTACATTTGCAGAATAAAATTTAATTGGACAAACCAGTTAAATTCTCTGCTTTACTGCAACTGCACAAGAAGGATAATATCTGCATGTTCAACAGGTGTTGTGAGGATTAACTCATTTACGGCCAGGAGGCACTCAGACGGTCGATGGTGAGCCACGTGGACAGGCTGCTATCTTTCGATCCATCATTTTAACACACTCATCTCATCACATACTAAGTGACTGACGATCATCAGTGTAATACAGTGAATACATGAAATCACACCTGGATAGAACCAGAATTAAAAAGTAGGACTTGTTGCCATTACCTTTATAAAGGTTCTTAATTAAAGTTTGACACAAATTATCTCCACAATTAATGCTGTTGGTTTTGTGACATTGATTCTGACCTAAGCTGCTGGGTACTCTGATAGCAAATAAAATTACACTGCACACACAGTTCTGCTTATTAACATGAGGGCAGTGCTGATTGAAAACTGACAACTATTTCTAATTTCCCTGAACAACTGCAGTGCAGAGTCCAACAAAAACTCTCTCCAGCACACTTCATTAAGCACAGCAACATATCTGCATGGGAACCTTCCAGTGCAATTAATTCTGCCAAAAAAAATCATACGCAATAGGTTATCAACTATCGTATGACAGCTTACTTCAGCTTTTTTCAAACTCTAATTGGTCACTTCAACGTTTCAATAAAGTGGCAATTAAAATTACAGAAGTGTAATTAAAATAACGAAAGTAAAATTCAGTGCAAATTTGCTGAAACCAGCACCTCCTATTTCTGAGTGTATTTGAACTTTTATGTTGATATCACCAAAACTGCAATAATATTGATCGTTAAACACAAAAGCCATAGTTAGATCTTGTTGTTGTTATTTTAGCTTATTTATTTATCAGTATCTCCCCAGATAACTATTTTTATTTTGTATATTGATAATCAAAAAAAAAGGTAGAAGAGAAGAGAAGATTTCCACAGACCTTCACATCCAGGGCCTGAAGGTTTCCACCCTTTGTGTTTCCTTTACATTTCTTGCTGGGACTATGGAGAAGGTGAGGTAATGGCAACTGAACTATTACTAATTAGAGGATGACATAAGAATAGAAATGGAATTTATTGGTAGCTCACCTTAAATATACTGGGCTTTAAGTTGTTTCAGTTTAAGCTCAGCTGCTGCTTCACAGGCAGCCAAACTGTCCCTTCAATGGACAGGAACTTCTGAAATAGTTTACCACTATCAGGGAGTAAGTTATCCTTTATTTATATATATACATATATATATATATGTATATTGCAACTATGGAAAATATACATAACTGAATTGGATCCAAAGTTGTCCAAGTATTGTTTGCATAAGATATCTTTTCCACTTCACTTTTTTTTTCCGTAAGTTCCGTAACATAACACTGCTTTAAAAGCAAGAGCAGCACAAGGTCTGCAACACAAATATAACAAGCTCATCATGTGGGCCTACTGGACAAGGTTCACAGAGATGTAGGCTTTTACATGTTTTTGTTTCAAGTTTCTCTATTTGCTTGAAATGAAAGGCCTTAGAGTACGATAATTCAACTTATGTTTAAACTTCAGCACATTCTTGAAAGAGTTTTGATCTTTCGGAAACCAGAATAAAAGTTTCCAAACTTCATATCCTATCACATCGCTTGTCGAGTATCATAGCAAGTATGAAGGAAGTAACAAAGACCTGAGAAAAACTTAATGTAACTTGAAGTATGGTCAGATGTTCTTTCCAAATCATTTGCTTTTTAGGAATTTAACACAAATGATTACAACTTACATTATAGTATCTTCTTGTGTCTGGTTGTAAAGGCCAAATTTTATAGTCATGAAAGCTGAAAGATGATACCCTTTCAACTGTTTCCATCAAACGTTTTTAACATTACATTCGAAAATGAAAGTTTATCATAAAATAAACAATTTACTTAGTCTGGGAGATGTCCATGTGTCTATAAACACTTTTGAATAGTGGGCACAGGCACAAGAAACATCATCACGTGGTACAGACTCCCTACATATTTGGT